TATCTATATATATCTATATATATATATATATATATATATATATATATATATATATATATATATATATATATATATATATATATATATATATATACATGTATATATATATATATATATATATATATATATATATATATATATATATATATATATATATATATATATATATATATATATATATATATATATATATGTATATATATATATATATAGATTATAACTGCATTTAGAATTTAGAAATTTGATTTTAAAAAAATGCAAGTAAAATAATAACAAAATACTTGATTGGTTTCCCATAAACTGTCCATCTAAAAATGCAGAAACATAAAGACTAGAATAAGCTATTCCGACAATATGATGCCATCTTTCTGCATTGTTTCCAGAAAATTGAACAACCCCAGAAAATGTTCTAAAAATAAAAATGTCTACTAGAAAGCCAAATCTGATTAATTTTGCTTTAATATTATTCAAAATGTTTAATTCCGTTTTACTATGTGCACTTAGGTATAAAGTAAAAAGGCAAGTAAAAAGGTAGGTAAAATATACTAAAAGTAAAAATTCTAGGTACTAGGTAGGTGAAAAGTACTAAAAGTAAAAAGTCTAGGTACTAGGTAAATAAAAAATACTAAAAGTATACGAAGAAGTGTTATACAAGAGTTTACCAATGGTTGAGTGTACCAACTGTGCTAAAGTTGAAGAAAAAGAAAAAAAAGAAAAAGTTGACACAAAATGTCATAACAAGAATAGTACACAAAATGTAGTAACAAGATTAATATAATGATAATTGTTAATTAGAGTTTCAGAAAATTAAAAAGGCTTCAAAAGCAACCCTAATTCGCAAAGTTTTGAGAAGTCTAGAAGTCCAAAAGTTAGTGGACTTCTCATGGACATTTAAAGATTAAACAAATACCATACACGCTGAATATAATAACTTCTGATAATGTACGTTATAAAAGTTTACAAAATATATTGTATAGAAAGAGCTAAAAAGATGACTAACTAAAAGTGTTTGTTGCATCGAAGGAAAACAAGCGACCAGTTTAAAATACAATTGTAAACAGGATTGTGTATGAGTTAGATTATGTCAGGGCAAATTTAGGTAATTTATAAAAATATAGCATAAGGTGCAAAGGTGTCACCAAAACACATGTTGTCATTGCAACAATTTTAAAAAAGGAAAGTTAAAACTAATCAAATATGGAAAAAGTTTATACAGGTTACACAAAAAAACTGAAAATAACTGAAAAAAAAAACTATATCAAACTATATTTATAGGAGAAAACACTGTTGTAGTGCAGAGTTACAAATGTATATCATGTTACAATTTTGAATAAAGCATTGCAGCACAATATTTATTGTTTTATTAAACTTTTTACGTAACGGTAAATGTTGTTTTGAAAAAAATAAAATAAAAGTTATGTTACTTGTAAAATTATATTTAGTATTTTATACTGTTTTGTTAACAATGTTTTATGTGTTATTGCATGCAACATTTCTTAAGCCAAATTTAAACACTATAATGATAAATTAAGAATATCTTTGCTTTGTAATAAAGCTGTGACTGTATTAATACAGCTGAACAATCGCAAAAAGTGTGGAGTTTTCCTCCACACCGGTATGTAGCTATCACTCCTAGACACAAGTGTGGAGTTATTTGCACACTTTTGTGCAAATAACTCCACACTTCTGTGCAGAATTCGAGTTGGAAAAAGTTAATTTCCATAAAAGTATGCAAAATAACTCCACATTTGTGTCTAGAAGTGATAGCTAAACACCGGTGTGGAGGAAAACTTTCCGGAAGCGTGTAGCGTGATCTACACACCGAAACAGCCATTTTGTTTTTAAACTGATTTAAGTTATGAGAATGTAAAACATTTACCGGGTCCACCGGTAACTTATTCCATGCGGTTGTTAATTTTGTCTAGAATAGGAGTGTACCTGATCGGAATTGAATTCCGGCCGTAACCGAATTTGCCGGAACTATAAATAAAATTCTGCCTGGAACGAGAATTGTATTAGGGTTCGTCCATAAGGTACGTACTCTCGGATGAAACGAGGGGGTCTGCTAACGGTATATACAGCGGTGGCCAAAAATTAAAGACCACTCATTTTTTAGTTGGTTTCTTAATCTTTAAATCAAAATTAAGAAGATTCTAATTGACATATTAAATTTTTTTTTTAATATCTTGTTAATTAAAATATACGGATTAAAATGGTATAATTTTTTTAATCTAGTTCTAATTAATTAGCGTTTAACTTATTAAAAAACTGATGAGTACTTATAAATCTTCTTTAAATAAATTGGACAAAATTTAACGACCACTTTCAAATCTTTAATTTGCACTTATTAAAAATAATAATCGAATATTTTTTTTAACTGTCTTAATTGCTTATTACGTTGGCTATAAAATAAAATGTCGAAACCTGAGTTTCGATATCAAATAAATATTTATTTTTTGAATTGCAATAAGGATATAAAAATATTGCAAAAATGCGTGCAAAGATCGAAGAAAAAGACAGATACGCGGCTCTTGTATTAAAAGAAGAAGGCTATAGCATCAGACAAATAGCAGAAAAGCTCGGAAGGTCTCACTCTTGCATTATTAACATAATTCAACGATACAAAGAGCCAGTCTCTTTTGTATCGTTGATCGTCATAGGACTGGACGCAATTTTGTATCGTTGATCGTCATAGGACTGGACTGGACTTTAGTCAATTTTGTATCGTTGATCGTCATAGGACTGGACGCAATAAAATTTCAAATGACCGTGATGTTCGCTCGTTAGTGAGACTAATGAAAGAAAACAGACAAGCATCATCTACAGACTTGTCTACGAAATGAACACTGTCAAATGGTCTGAAAGCAAGCCCTAGAACTGTGCGAAGGGTCCTCCACAATTTAAATTATTTATGGCGTGCTGCTGCAAAAAAACCACGCTTAAATAAAAAACAAAAATTTGCCAGGAAAGAGTGGTGCAAACTACATAAAAATTGGTCAACAGATCAGTGGAGCCGTGTGGTCTTTAGTGATGAAATGAACGTTGAGGTAGACAACAGAAAAGGTCGCGTTATGTTGCGTAGACTTCCAAGCGAACGATTCAATGAATCATGCATTTTGAAACGAACAAAACAAGGCAGTGGTTCAATAGGCATTTGGGCCTGTATGAGTGCCTGTGGAGTTAGCGTTTTTCATTTATTGGTAGACTCAACAAAGAAAGGTACATCGAAATTTTGGAAAACTCGCTTATTCCTAGCATTGATTTATGGCAGTTGCAAGATGAATTTATTTTCCAGCAAGATAATGCACCGTGTCATAAAGCGCATGTTGTTAGCGATTGGTTCAATTCTAATAAAATTCAAGTGCTACCATGGCCTGCCAATAGTCCAGACTTAATTCCAATAGAGAATTTATGGTCGTGGCTTGATCACAAGCTTGGTAAAGAACAACTTTACAATTTGGAAGATTTGAAATCTTCTATCTCTTATCATTTAAAAAATGTGCCTGATGAAGTAATCAAAACTTTAATGAATTCAATGCCAGAACGAGTACAAGAGTGCTTGAAAACAAATGGAGGAACAACACGTTTCTAAATTATTTTTTTATTGCTATTTGAAACTTTTTTGAAACTGGTCTTAAAATTTTGTTCAATTTTTTTTTCGATTTATATTTTTTAGTAGTCAGTTTTTTAATTTTTTAACATTATTTTGTAAAAAAATTATAAATTCTTTTATAATAAATATAAAATACAATAAAAATTCTTTCTAAAAATGTTTTTCTTTTTTTGATACCTTTTTCTAAAATAAAATTATACTAAGGTTAAAAATAAAATTTGAAAAAAAAATGAATGGTCTTTAATTTTTGGCCACCGCTGTATGAGACGGGCGGCAGGGGTCAATTATAAAAGCAAGGTGACACTAAATTGAAAAAAAGTAAAAAAATGTTAGGTAGGTAGGTTAAAAGCGTAGGTATTTTTAGGAAGGTGAGGAATACTCAAAAAAGCGTATAGCAAAATGTATGGGGTTGGGGGAAGGGGGAAGGGAAGGGTCGAAACAAAAGCGTACGTATTTTATGCACAGCCCCTTATGTAATTTTTTACCTTCAAGATTGAAAGTGAAAGACTGCACTTCAGCATAGTGGCTACATAATATATAATCTATTTCATTAATTTGATTCTCGTTTCATTTAAATCTAATATGTTATTTTTATCTGTTTCTTATAAACTTATTTATTAAAAGTTTTAACCTGCATAATATTTATACTTAAAATTATTACTTTATTTTTTCTATTTTTTCATTTAAATTCAAATTGAAATATTAGGCGATCGTAAAAAAAAATATGTGCAAATTGATGTATCCTCTACTACAAATTAACTAGACATAACATGTGGTGTCTCCTAAGGGTCTATACTAAGACCACTTCTTTTTCTCATTTATAAACAAACTTTTTATCAACAAACTTTTTTCTGTCTAGCAATAATACCATAAAACTATTCAATGACATGAACATAGAGCTAATTAATATTTTAAAATGGTCTAAGTCAAATAAGTTTTCAATGAACATAGAAAGAACCAAATGGACTTTATTTCATCCAATGTCCAAAAATATCTTTTGCCAAATGATATACCTCAAATATATATTGATAATATTCAAATAAAACAATCAAAAGTTATACTTTTTCTTGGTGTTCTTATTGATGAAAATCTTACGTGGAAAAATCATATTGAAACCTTGCGCAACAAAGTTTCAAAAAATATTGGAGTATTATATAAAGCAAGAAGTTTTGTAAATAGTCAAGTAGATCCTCTTTATCGGCAACAGAAGTATCTAACACAACTTGGAAACTTTAAAGATCGTTTTATTCATACAATACCACTTTTATTCGAAATGAGTATTTTTAATATATACCAAGTAAATGTTTTTAACGTTCTTTGCTTTATATTTAAATGTAAGATAAACTTAACTCCTATATCTTTTTAAAGTTTTTATGCAATAAATCCCAAAAATAAATATAATCTAAGAAATGACAATAAAAATTATTTATCAACATTATTCGCATACAAATTTAGAAAGGTCTCTTATATCTTAACGCGGAGCTTTTTGTGAAACAAAATCGTTTTAAAAAATTTTGATTTTTCCCAAAGTTAAATTTTTCTACTTTCAAAAACAAACTGAAAAAATTTATTTTTTCAATAGATAATATTTTCAAGTTCGTCTGATCTCGTTTCTCAACATTATTTATCAACATCAACGGTATCTAAAGTTGTGTACACGTGTCTAAATCTGATTTTTTTTTTTTTTTTTTTGTATGTTTTTATGCTCTAAGAAACCGTATCCATGTAAAGTAAGATTTACACTATCTGATGATTCTAAAATTTTGTATTAAGTCACCTCTTAAACGCCAAATTGAAAGATTTATTAAATTTAAATTTATCTTTAATTTTTATTCTTTTCTTCATATGCCATGAAGAAAAGAATAAAAATTAAAGATAAGTATCCCTCCTCTTAAAAACATGGCATATGAATCTTTCTTCATATGCCATGTTTTTAAGAGGAGGGATAAGATGAGTTGCTTGTCACTGTACTCGTTCCAGTATAGATGTATCTCCTTTAAGGCTAGGAGACCATACAGCGATACCGTATGTTGATGGACAAGTGTAACATAAAGATCTTTACACATCTGTTTATCTATAATACTAAAGGTATGCTTTATTAAACCAAGTGCTTGATTTGCTTTAGACCCAGAGCTATTTGCGTGTTGTTTCCACTTAAGATTGGCCGAGATATTATTACTTAGATCTTTTTCACGTATAAACTTTTAAGTTTTTAAATTGTCATTATTAGAATTTGGTATGGTGTAATCGTGTTTTGGGTTATTTTTCCAATATGCATAGCATGATACTTTTAAAGTTAAACTAAAAAAGCCATTTTTTGACCACTTGAACGTCTTGATTAGATCATTTTAAAGAGCTGGTATTGAGTTTTGGTTGAAAGTTTAATTGATAATTTCATCAACAAGTTTACACCAACAAATCAACTCATCAACAAATAATTTAGATGTGTTAGTTAGATTTTTTGGTAACTCATTAATATAGATGACAAAAAGAAGTGGATCTAATAAAGAACCTTGTGGAATACCACAAAAAACATCTTTCCAATTGGACTCAATTTAGTTAATTACTATTTTCTAAGAATGATTTGCTACAAGAAGATTACGGTGACAAGACAATTACTGATACCATAATTTCTTATTTTAAGCAAAAGTCTTTAGTGAGCAACAGTGTCAAGCTTTAGCAAAGTCGAGGTAAATAATATCAGCTAATTTATTGTTTTCCATGCAAGTTGATAGAAGGTCGACAGTCTCTAACAAATTTGTTATACATAATTTTTTAGGGAAGAATCCATGTTGTTGCATATTAATTAGATTATTTTTTAAGATTATTTCTTTCTGTATTATTGATTAAAATAGTCTACAGATAGTTGACATCAGTAAAATAGGTCTATAGTTTTTTGACATAAGCTTATTACCTTTTTTGAAGAAAGGAGTAAAATTTGCTTATTTTCAATGACTTGGTTCTTTGTTGGAAGCTAAGAATTTTTCAAAAATAAGTAAAATTAGATATGCTAGTGACCTCAAGCATTCTTTAAAAATTCTAGAGTGAACCTTGTCTTTGCCAATAGATTTATTTATATCTACGTTGTTCAAAAGTTCCAATATTTCATTAAATTTAAATAATACTTTATCTTCATCGATTGTTTTAGAAGTGGATATATTTTATCATCAATTTCAAGAATTAGATTTGTATCCACTTTGACAAATACCGATTGAAATTGATTATTTAAGATATTAACAATATTAAAAAGATCGTCACAGATAAAATCATTTTTATTTTAAAATGATCGGATACGGTTATTTGCATTTTGCATGTTGTTGATATATTTATATAGAAGTTTTGAGCTTTATTTTGTTTTGGAAACTAGGTTTTTTTCAAACTCATTTCTTGCGTTCTTTGCCTCTCGTTTGATTGTTTTTTTAGCACTTTATAATCATTAATTTTATCTTTTTTTTTCCACCTACTGGCACAATTAAAGTAAAAATTATTTTCTTTATGCGAGATTGACAATATGTTTGTTGGACCATGGATTAACGAGAGAATGTCTAACATAATACGATATAAATTATAGCAAATTTTTTGGCATTGCTTTGGAACTTGAACTACTATAAGCTCTTGAAAGAACTAACATCCAAGTCAGTACTAGATGACTATTATTACATTCTCCAAGAATCGGATTATACATATAGTTGCTCTGATTGTTTTTTTTTAGTAAGAAACAAATCAAGAATTTCTGTGATGGTGCCAAATTGTGTTTAAAACGTTGGGGCGTTAACGTGTTGAGTTAGAAAACGATCCTCAACTGTGTTTAGAAATGTGTGGTCTGTTGACTCCTTTTTATTAAAAAATTGATATACACTTCCATTTTTCCTTAATATTTTTAGAAAGGCAAAGTCTCCTGTCCACAAGTATAAAATGATAACTTGTATTATTTACTTATTTTTTGCAGCGGGAATAGACTCATTAACATCTATTAAGCTTTTTGTTCGGAGATCTGTAAATGCATTTAATTAATATGACTTTATTTCCGATTAGTCAAGTTACCCTATTTGTTCAACTTTATTATTGCACAACTTTATATAAATTGTTTTAACCAATTTTAAGTTATTAGAAATGTAGATAGCACCCCACCGCCTCTTCTATCATCACTTATGTTTCGTCTATATAATGAATAGTAATTTAGATCGGAAAAGAGTCTTCTTTAAACCTTGTTTCAGTGATTCCAATGATGTAAGGTTTATATATATATATATATATATATATATATATATATATATATATATATATATATATATATATATATATATATAATATATATATATATATATATATATATATATATATATATATATATATATATATATATATATATATATATATATATATATATATCATTTGCTAATGTAAGTTATTCAAATTTTAATATTATATTCAATAATATATTAAAAAAATAAAAGTTAGTTGCTAAAACTGTTTTTTTTTTGTTAACCATTTGTTATTTATATTTTAATTGTTATTTTTGATATTAAACAAAATAAAACACAGCAAAAATTAAAAAAAAAACAATACCCCTGTCTTGCAACAACTAGCCAACTTTCTAAGTAATGATCATACTTTATAGACATTCCTTGACCCTAAGGAAAATAGCAATAATAATTTTGTATTCAATAATGTCCTTGATATTGACCCTGCTTTCATGACCTAATTGTTTAAATAGTATTATTTTTATTTCACCTAAATCATAAACATGGTAATTTAAATTAATTTATATATATATATATATATATATATATATATATATATATATATATATATATATATATATATATATATATATATATATATATATATAAATATATATATACTTAAGAGGGGGGGGGGGGGGGGAAGGGGCGCCAAAAAGAGGAAAAAATTATAAAAATAAATGAATTCACAACCAAATCCAGAGCCAACAACTCCTCAGTGACTATCACTAACACAGCTGAATTAAAGAGCAAGTTTAAGAACAAGAGCCAGTCAGCCAGAACCCGAACCACCAGTAACAAGCAACCCCAAGAAAAATTTAAATAATCCCAAATCTCAGATTTTCTAAATGTGGTGACATCTTTGAAAGTAGCCATGTTTTAAGTTTACTTTTTATTTATTTTTATATATATAAATTTTTCAATATAAATCAATAACTAAAATTGTCAATGCAAAAGGTTAGTGTTAATATCATACTAAAACTGAGTTATATAATATTGAGAGTTTACATATTCTAAAATGATAAAATTTCAACACTTAAACTGTTATACAGCATTACCGTTCACGTCCAAATATTAAACGTGACTAAAACATTAAAGGCGGAATTCTCGGAGTCGAAAGCTTTACGACCGCCACGCTACATTGAGACGATTTTTCAAATAAGTTGAAGATTTGTATACTTTAAATTTTGTATACTAAATTTTATAATATTATTTAACATTTCTGGAAAATTTTAAATCAATATTTGATCTTTAATAGCTAAACGAGTGTCAAATGTTACGACCGTCACTTACGTGGAATTGCCCATATATATGTTATGCACAGATCGTGAAATCGCGCATTTCACGAACTGTGCAATTTTTTGCTGATTTTGTGAAATGGATAGTGCTGTATATATATATATATATATATATATATATATATATATATATATATATATATATATATATATATAAAAGGCCAGCGCGATAGGGGGGTGTGACAACCCCCCCCCCTCCTCATCAATGATTTTTAGTCGGCAAATTGGAACCTTAGTCGGCAAATTGGACCCTAGGCAGTCGGCAAATTTTGGAAAACGAGGACCTTTTTTTTTTTTTGTCGCCAAAAGTGTTAATGGCACCCTCCCCACGTGAAACCTACTCGCGCCGGCCCTGTATATATGTATATATATATATATATATATATATATATATATATATATATATATATATATATATATATATATATATATATATATATATATATATATAAATAAGCAAAACTAAAAACAAAAAAAAAAAATTTTTATTTTATTACAAAATAGAGTGCTCAATGTTCTTAAAAGAACAGAGCAATTATAAATTTGTAGAAAATCACTTAACAAATTTTTTTTTCATTTTACACTGTGTTTTATCAACAAAGACTCATCAGAAATGAATGATCAAATAAATAAAACTTCAATTTATACCAAAAAAAATTAAATTAAAGGAAGTCGTAAATGTTTTAACTACTGTAAATTTTCACACATTTGTGGAATTTGCTGACACTAATATAAAAAGAGTTCTTTAGATACTATCAATATATATCAAGTATCAATATATAATATTGATACTATCAAATATGAGAATGATTGTGATAGATTTAAAGGGAGCAACTTTATTGGGAAAATTACCGGTACCCTATTATTTTGGAGAAAAAAAGTTTTTCAAAAGTAGGTCAACCTGGTACTCAAAAGAAGCGAAATTTTGTGAAAAATTCGAAATTAATAATCGTTTAAAAAAAATCATATTGCCAAAAAAAATTGTTAGTATAAAACATGTAAAAATGCATCTATTTCACTTTTAGTTAAAAAACTATAGTTATTATGCAATAAAATCTAAAATAATAATTTTTATATGAAAAAATTATTATTTTTGAAATTTTTATAAAATTTCGCTTTATTCGAGTACTTACATTACATAATTTTGAAAAACTTTTTTTTTTTTGAATAATAATAGGGCCTGCTAATTTTTTTTTTTTTTTATGTGTATATATAAAATTAATAATTATATTTATAATTATATAAATCAAATCATAAGAGTATTCTTATTTGAGGCCTTCGAAGAAATTTAATTCATTGTCGTTTAGTAGAAGAGTTTGTCTAAGATATGTTTTAAATTGGTTAAGCAAGGCGAAGCGCAGAGAGTGTTTTCAAGATCATTATTTAAAAGTATATTCCATAATTTAGGTCCTCGATTCGTAATTGAGTATTTTGCGGCTGAATAATAGGTTTTGGATTGACTAAAGTTATTTTTTGAGAATCTTGTGATGTATATATGATTTATTTTTTTAAGTATTGAGTAAAATAAAGGTAGTGCCGTTTTTTATTAAGTTTAAACATAAATATAAGAGTTTGATAAAGATTTATTTTGAAAACATTTAATATATTGAGTTTACTAAAAAGTATTTTTGTATGGGAGAGTCGACCTACATTTGTAATAATCCTAATAGTATGTTTTTGTTTGCAGAAAAGTTTGTTTATTTTTGTAAAGTACTGCACCAAAAAATATTTGCATAGTTTAGGTAACAATGTATAAATGAAAAGTAAATATGTATTTCAAACAAGATTGGTTTAAAAACTGTTTAGCTTTATATAGTATACCAATATTTTTTGAAATTTTATTCTCAATTACATTTATATGTTCTCTCTAAATAATATTTTCATCTAGAATTACGCCCGAGAATTTTAAGGATATTTCCCTTTTTAATAAATTATTATCAATAAAAAGATTCGGTAGTTTCAATGGAATATTTTTTTTTAGAAGCATGATGGAATAATGTGTATTTGGTTTTATTAATGTTTAGGGATAGTTTATTGGATTTAAAGCATTGGTATAGTTTATCAAGTTCTTTGTTTACTGTTAAAAATAAAATATTAAAATCTTTATTTGAATAAAACGAGTTAGTATCATCAACAAATAAAATTGAGTGTAAGAAAAATTATTTAAATTATTAATATAGAATAGAAACAAGAAGGGTCCTAGTATTGAACCCTGGGGAACACCACATATATTAGTCATATTATCCGTTTTTCCATCTTTGTATGAAATATATTGCTTCCTGTTAAACAAATTTTTTTAAACCAAGTCAAGTTTGAATTTCTTGTACCGTGGGTTTCAAGTTTAGATAAAAGAGTTATATAATCAACTGTATCAAAGGCTTTGCTTAGATCTATAAAAACACCTAAAGTATACTTTTTTTCATTAAACCCTTTAAATATATCATGTACAAGATATAAGATTGCGTGATCAGTAGAATGACCAGATATAAAACCAAATTTTTTATTGTACAAAATATTAATTTTGCTTAAAAGAGTCTATTATACATAATTCGTTCTAGAATTTTTAAAAAACATGTAAGAATTGAGATCGGTCTATAAATAGTAATGTCATAAGGATCACCTGATTTTAAAATTGGGATAACTATAGCGATTTTTAACTTTTACGGAAAAATTCCCTCTTTTAAAGATAAATTAAATATATACAAGAGTGGGACTGTAATGAGTTTTATTGAATTGATAATAATGCTACTACTTATATTGCCAACTCCTATCCTTTTTTTGTGCTTAATTAATGAAACCGTGACTAATATTACTTCTTCAGTAAGTTTATCATTAGACATAATTTTAGAGTTATAAGAAACCAAGTATGCTTCAAAGCTGGTTTGTTTGGATTCAATTTTTGATACTAATAAAGGACCAACATTTACAAAAAACTCATTAAGTGTTTCAGCCAATAGTTGTTTTTTTAAAACGTAGTTACCATTAAATTTGAGTAATTTTGGGATAGTAATTCTGTCAGAATTATTTTCACCAATGACTTCTTTAATAATACGCCAAGTACTTTAAAAATCAAATTTGGGTCATAAAACTTCAGGTCAAAAAAATTCGACTTTAAAGTGTTAAAGTTTAACGTGTTAAAAAGTCGAAAAAAGAACTTTTTTCTTTTTTTTTTAATAAGATCTTGAGATTCCAGTAGAAATCAACATTTTTGCAAAATCCTAATATTAAAAAAAACATTTTTTTTCTAAACTATTTCAACTTGGTACTCAAAAGACGCAGAACTCTTTATTGAAATTCTAATTTTAAAAAATATTTAGGGCGTTGAGGGGTAATGTGAGTCTCCGGGGTAATCTGGGTTTAATTCATATTTATCTGTTGTATTGATAATGGCTTCAAGTATAAAAGTTTTAATTTTTACTACTCTGTTATAATATATTAAATAATTAATTTTTAAACATAACTCAACTATGCCGTTAGAAATGGCACTTTTTTAACTAAAATGCTAGATACATCAGGCCCTTATGTTTGAAGTTTGTATCTTATGAATATTCAAGAAACACGTGTATTTATTTGTGTGAAACAATATATTTACCTAGGTGAAATAAAATTTTATACAAGACCTATTTGGTGTTATAATATTTTATTTTGTGAAACATTATGATTTATGCAAATTTATTTCACCAAAAAGTGAACATTTTTTTCATAAACATTGCTTAAAAAATTTAAAAAATGTCAATAAAAAAATAAAACCCAAAGATAATCCTGGTATTATGAAAAGAGCTATTTTGTTAGTATATTAGAAAAAAAAAAGATCATTTATCGTGTTGTTAAAGAATACTCTGTTTCAGAAGAAACATTGAATAGAATAATAAAAACGCAATAATTTGATGCAAACAAACGTAAAGGTCGAAAAAAAGTGATGAGTAAGTAAAAACTCCTTTTAAAAATAGAATTCCTGGGAAAGATTTGATAATCTTTTAGGAATATATATATATACATATATATACATATATATATATATATATATATATATATATATATATATATATATATATATATATATATATATATATATATATATATATATATATA